TTAATTAATGAAATATGGGACATGGTATCAATAACAATCATTATATCTACAGGTACATAGTATACGTATTGTCATCTCGTTAAAAGAGACATGGGCGGGTTGGAACAACAACCTACCATCCCCATGATGGGATGGCGGCATGTCGAAGCCCACAGCAAAAACAATAATATAATCCATAATATCAATATAAAGTGAATATAGGCATTATTAGAATAGGGTCAAACACGATCGAATATTTGCGACATAGCGAATGAACAATACAAGTGCAATACCAAAATCATGGTTGCGTACTTACTAGTACTCTAGGTAGCAGTTGAAGTTAAGTATCACGCCAGTGAAGTGCTAAGTCTAGTCACTTCAAGCGTCCACAATCAAGTGATCAGATCTTAAAGTCATATACTTGCTAATATCCTAGGATGCAGTTATGTATCATGCTGACGAAGTTCTGAGTGCAGATCCTTCCAGCATTCACCGTCAAGTGATCAGATCATAAAAGGCAGAATCTTGCTTGTCCAGGCTATTTATTCGAGTTCGATGACGATTAGCTGATGGTTCAATTGGGTGATTCACATGAGGGGTCAATTTTCCATCCAATGAAAATCACTTTCACTGTTGCGGGTTTGACCTTCAACCCTCAAGGTTAATCGGACTGAGGTGACCATCCTTTTTCAGGCTTCGGCGTGAGTTCTCTGTCTAGACAATGCATTTCCAGCAAGGGACGATACTCCGCCTTGCTGTCTACAGGGCAAAAATGAGGGGGGGAATGGTATTATTTCCTCAAGGTTGTTCGGTGGGATGGTTGACCGCAAATAGCATGTTCGGGAGGTGAGCGAACTGGTGCAGGAATGTGATATCACAAGGGAACTCACTCGTGCTGAGCGACTTCGGGGCAACTTGAGGGGAGGGAAAGGAGTTATTATACAAGGGTTTCCAAGGGCGGCTTTACGATATAAGAAATTTTACAAAGTCCAGCCTCAGATCGTCACAGTATGGGACACGTAGCCCGTATGGAAGACCATCGGCTCACGAAACAGATATTCTTCGGAGAACTCACGATAGGCAAGCGCTCCAAAGGAGATAAAAAAAAGCGTTACAAAGACTCACTGAAAGTGGCACTAAAGGCCTTCAGCATAAACCCTACTCAATGGGTGCAGACAGCCTAGGACAGAGCCAGGTGGAGAGCTTCTGTCAAGAAGGGGACTAAATCCCATGAAGCTAATAGGATATCCACAGCTGAGACACGCAGGCTTGCCCCAACGAGCAACATTAGGTCACCGCCTGCAGCAACTATCCCATGCCCACGGTGCCAAAGATTATTCCGAGCACGGATCGGTCTAGCAAGCCACCTACGATCTCACCGTAACCCAACCTCCCTCTAACCTTTGGATGACCCGATGGTCCTAGTCGACTTCGACGGACGAACAACAACATGTATGAATGGAAGGATGTGAGGGAGCAGCCCAGGTCCTTACATGGGCTGTAGTGCCACTGGTGATGATGTATGAATGGAAGGTTGTGATGGAGCAGCCCAGGTCCTTACATGGGCTGTAGTGCCACTGGTGATGATGTATGAATTGAAGGATGTGATGGAGCAGCCCAGGTCCTTACATGGGCTGTAGTGCCACTGGTTATGATGTATGAATGGAAGGTTGTGATGGTGCATCCCAGGGCCCTACATGGGCTGTAGTGCCACTGGTGATGATGTATGAATTGAAGGATGTGATGGAGCAGCAGTATTCAACAGTTACCACAGTCTCCAGCACCGCTCTAGATGACATACCAGATATGCCACTCATGGAAGAACTTGATGTCGTGCCCTCACAGGAAGAGCTGAGCAAAGCTATTGATAGTCTAGCTTGTGGAAAAGCGCCTGGGGATGATGGAATACCACCAGAGGCTCTAAAGAGTGGTAAGATAGCTTTACTCCAACCATTGCACGAGATTCTGTCCCTCTGCTGGGAACAGGGCTACATCCCCCAAGACCTAAAGGATGCAAATATAGTGACACTATATAAAAACAAAGGTGATAGGAGTGATTGCAATAATTATCGCGGCATTTCACTCCTTAGTATTGTAGGAAAAGCCTTTGCCCGTGTCATACTAACACGTTTACAGAGTCTAGCATCCCGTGTCTATCCAGAATCTCAGTGCGGTTTCCGGTCTGGGCGGTCTACCATAGACATGGTGTTCTCCATACGACAGCTCCA